AAGTTAGACACAAACATGTTTGTCTCAAAGTTCAATGCAAGGTATATCCTGGAGACTATAATCACAGACGCAATAGAAAGAATGAGTGAAAACATGGCCAAAGTTTCTCTTTGTTTAATGGAGCTGTATTTAACATTCGTAGCATTAATATAGCAGCAAACAGCTATTGTCAATGTAAAGATATAGAGGAGTAATGTCTACCTGAGCAGAGGATCACTGTCCCTCTGTGTGTGTTGTTATATGAGCCGCAGTTAGCGCTGTTAGCGCTGTTAGCTGCAAGCCGCAGGCTCAACAGCGCTATGTTGTTTGGATGGATTTACATTTTTTCCTCTCAATGGGGAGGATAAAAAATGATGTGAACAACTTTGACTTGATAACAAAGTGTTACTATGCAAAATGCGTTCAATTCCCAACCACATTGCATCATAAGCTGATCTTTACTACAGCCGTTATGTTATCAAATATGAAAATAATGATTAGAAAATGTGATCTAAGATATGCTTTGTGAAAGGACCTGCGTTCTGTCTTCTTACCTCAGCACAGTATCCCAGCTTCTGGTTTGGCGTCTCTAAGAAATTGGTTACAACAAACAGAACAGCTTCACCCTAGATGTAGAGAAAACACTGTGAATTGGTCGTTATGTTGACATCATAACATGATGCCCCCTGTGCTGCCTCCCTTTCTCCCTCCTCAGCCTAAATCTCTATCTTGAGGAGGTCCTCAGTTGTGTTCCTGCCAGAGGCTATTTGTCCCTCTCAGTGTATAAACTGCACCTGCAACTTTCCCCAAACCTGTTTTTGTACACTGTGTTAGTTGTCAAAGTGTTTCCAGCTCTTCCTCCCATTAACCTGTTAAATGTTGATTTAAACTGGCCCGAACAGTGACACATCTCTTCTTCACACTGATGCACATATTCAAGCATACAAGAAGAACAAATGCTAAAAAAGAAATGTTTGTTCATTTCTTAATTTAGCCACAAGCATGTGTGTGTGTGTGTGTGTGTGTATCTTTGACCCAGTTTGTATACATATTGGTGCTGTGTAAATGTTTTCACCTGTGGTGGGATGACGTAGTCCTCGGGTCCCCACACCAGCAGACCGGACTCAGTGGTGTTGGTCACTGAGACTCCCTTCAGCTTCGTTATGATGGAGCTCTGGATGGCCTCGTCCGTCTCCTGGTAGCCCTTCTTGCTTACGAAAACCCACCTGTGGGTGAGAGGGAAACATGTAAAGGCTGAAAGATGTGTTTAAAACATTAGTGTGTCATTTTGATTGTCTTATTGTTGCTGTTGAAGAACAGGCTACGTTTCAGTTTGTACTTAACAGTATGTTTTATGTTTTTGTGGTATCACTATGATCATGGTATCCTGGAGTTAATAGCCTTTTGATATTATACATTTCAGTCTAGGACTAAGCTGTATTACATTATTACAGATATGCTTTATTTGTGTTACATTGACTGTATTTGATGCCTGATGCTTTTGTTATTATAAATAAGCACTTGTGACAGCATAAGTCAAATGTACCTATAGATTAGGCTAACTACAGCTTTTTTATTTATGGCTTTTGGCTACAGGACACTGAACAAGCCATAAGAGTATTGAAAATGAGAAAAACGTGTGACAATTGTTAGTGTATTAAAAAAACTGTCCTGTCAGATTGTAGCACTGACTTAAGAGCCCATGTTGTAATCATCATCATGGTCAGCCTGCACACTGCGGTATAAAACAACTAATCAATTTATTTATTGCTGCATTAAGGCTATTCAAATTAGGTCAACATAAAATCCTCACCAGCATGCATTTCTATATTATGATAATTTGCCCAGGGTTATAGGCTACCATAAGGTAGGCTAATAAAACTGCAAAAGCCGCGGCAGTAGTTCACCGACTTACCCGATAATGTAACCGATGATGGATAACTGAATAAGTCTGTACAAAACTCCAACTTTCTTGTTTTTGGCGACAATGTATTTTTCCGTTTTGTAGTCGAATAAGGAGAGGAAGCGTCCTTTGAAGAAGCTCCCGGCCATCCTGCAGCTGTCTGCGGACAGTTGGATGTCAGTGCATAATTGGGATGAGTGGTATACTGAACCACACACACACACACACACACACACACACACACACACACACACAGCCAAAGTTTCTGTCCAGCCCCTCACTGTGGGCAGGCGCCTCCCTTTAAATGAACACGTGCATCAGAGCATGTTAGCGGATTCTGTCTCTCTGTCTCCCTCTCTTTCAGGCACAAGAACCACAGTATGGTATTCATCAGCACCCTCACCCTGCACCCTGAGTCTTAGCTCCCCTGGTTTTGCAAGCCGTTTCTTATTTAAAGAAATAAACCATATCAAAATTAATCATCCCAGTGGTGTGGTCCGTGTTTGTAAAAAACTGCAAATGTGGTGTTTTGATTACTTTGCATATGTTTTTTGCTGTTTTCATAACTTTATCTGTAAAAAAATATGTAATTATTGGACTCCTCAGGTCCAGATGAATATATTCAGATAAACCACACTCATTTGCTTCTTGATGTTGAATTGAATTGTGTCCAAATCTATTTTCTGTTTTTTTTCTGTCAGGGTTTAGGCCTACATAACAAAATATTAATCTTCTGAACACGTTGTTCTTGTGTAACCACATTTGTATGACATAGATATGATGTCTGAGTGACGATGCTATCTGGCCACTAGGTGGCGCCGGATTAGCAGCATCTATAAGAACCTCTCTGATGGGGGGCTCATGATGCTGATAACCCAGATCCTGCAAGACAAACAAGAACCAGGGACACCTAATGGAGAGCAGGGGTCCTCAGAAGATTAACGGATGCAGACTTTATGCATTATTAGAAAGGGAAATATTTGTGAAGAATAAAATTCTCTTTTATCCAAGGCTGGATAACACAACCAGGTTTACTTACCAAGGTTAGTCGTAACAAGACTAATTGACATAAATAAAATAATAGTAAATAATTTGCATATCAATATTTATATTTTTACTTAAAGTAAAGTGTTGCAGACTCGTATTATTCCATTAAAGGAACAGTGTGTAACATGTATGGGGATTAATTGGCAGAAATGGAATATGATATTCATAACTATGTTTTCATTAGTGTATGATGACCTGAAACTAAGAATCGTTATGTATTTCTTATCTTAGAAAAAGCCATTTCTATCTACATAGGAGCGGGTCCTCCTCCATGGAGTCCACCATGTTTCTACAGCAGCCCAGAACGGACAAATACTAACGAACACTGGCTCTATCGAGAGCCTTTTATGTTTTTACATTAACTAAAGGTAGGGATGGGTACCGGAATTGCCCACTGTGATGGTCTTTCGGTTTTGTCTTAAGGGTTTGCATGCAGAATGACCATGTTGCTTTTGTTCACAGTGCAGGGATGCTGACAATGAATGCTGAGTAAGTCCTTTTGTGAAATTAGAGGATGAAAATATGATTTATATACAAATGTTCAATGAATAAAACTTCACTTATTTGACTAAATTAATTGTTTGATTTATACAGACCCAAATCAATCAGTCAATTTAAATTATCGTTGAGGTGGTGTGCTATCGTATTTGAATTCACATACTGAAAGTGTGGCAAAATATTAAAATGTCCTCGGTCTATATTTAATGTTGTGCATACCGCAGATGTCATATTCATTATTACCTTTAAAACACATTGTTTATTAATTAAGTAATAGTGGGCTCATTTTATTTTAGTTGTATTTGTTTTTACCAGTTTTAACGTTGTATATGTTTTCAATCAATGTTTGCAATAAGATCACATTTAATCCATTTATTGTCATTTAAAGATGTTTAGACATCACAGTTTTGAATCTGTTCAGTAATTATTTGAGCATGAGATAACCAACCTAAAATTGAATCTTGTTCTTGTGTTTGTCTCTTCCCATTAAGACGAGCCGGACTTTGAAAACCCTTGTGAGTCATATTCAGATGCTTGTGAGACGCACACGCTCAGCCGTCCGCTTGGCTCCTCTGTACTCCTCCCATGCAACTTTACAACAAGTAGCCTCAACTGGGTGTCGTGGGCCCACACTCCTGGGCTGGACCTGGTCCATCTCACATCTGAGGGTCATATTAAGTTCCTGGACCACAGGTATGGTCGGGTGAAAGCCTTTCCATACCAGGCCTCAGAGGGGAACTTCTCCATCCGCATCGATGAGCTTCAAAACTCTGACCTGGGGTGCTATCGCTGTAAGCAGGGACATGACTGTCTTCAAGTGGAGTTGGTTGCTGAAAGACGTGAGATGATTTCTGTTTGAAAGTGTTCAGGTAACGCTTCCTCAACACTGAGCAGCAGCCTCTGCAGAAACATGCGGCCTCCTTCCTTTCCATGGTCACAAACCTCGTAGGCCAAACACATGAGAGGGGACAAGTGAATGAGCTAGTTTCCTGTGAAATGCACCTTTGTAAAAACCACAACTTAAACATAAAAGTTGTATTTAAGTTAGGTTGACCTAATTTTAACACAGTGAAAAAATGAAAAAAATTATAATTAGATGAGGAAATATGAACATTTTTTATGTGAACCTGGGCAGTTTCTCGCTTTGCCTGACAAAGCTTAAATTTTGTTAGGCAAACATAAAATGTATGTTTAAAAAATGGGCTTATTGTGCTTTAATTAGCCTTGGTGATGAACATTTCTATCCACTTGTACATGTTTCAGCACAAGGTTCTCCGGAAGCATCAGCAGGAAGTGGTCTGGAGGAGAAAATCATTTCAGGCCCTTTTTTTTACGATCATCTACATATTCATAAAAGATAAATATTTATTGTTTTTCAATTTTATGTTTGACATAACCAGCTTACAGTTTGAAAACAATAAACCTGTTAACAATTTCAACTGTTGTTCATGTGAAACTGAAAGACATCAGAGCACTTCCGTATATAACTACATGAACGGTGATGGTCTTGTGGTTTTGTCCCATGATGCTTGGAGGTGTTAATAGCTTTGCCACATTACTGTTCACCACACGAGATGCTGACAATGAATGCTTACAGGTGGATTGTCCTTCTAGCCCTGTGCTTTATTTGCATTTCTTCAAATGGTAAGTCCTTTTGTGATATTAGAGAATGAAAATATTATGAATATAAAGACGTTCCATGAATAAAACTTCACCTCGTTTGCTATATCAACTGTTTTTTCACTCCATTTACATTATTTGATCTTTGAAATCTGGTGCGTAGAATCTAGAATTTCCTTTCTAAAAGCTTGGTAAATCTGTTGACAACAAGACGAATTATCTTTACTCTAGTGGACTATAATGTTGGTATTATATTTAAATATTGTTAACGATATATAGACTATAACGCAGATATTTCCCCCATTAAAACACGTTGTTAATAAATTAATCTAAGAATATAGGGCTAATTTATAAGAATATGTGGGCAGATCATAGGTTTCAGTGTTACATGTTTTTATTCAGTGTCTTTTATAAAGTTATTATTTTTACATTCTCTAGCTTTTCTGCCGTTTAATTGTTATCCAGTTATATTAAATCCATTTATTCATTTGAAGATGTCTAGACATCACAGTTTTGAGTATCTACAGTAATAAGGACGATGAGTTTGTTCTGTTGGTACTCATGGTTGATTGAGATAACCAACCTAAAATTGAATCTTGTTCTTGTCTTTGTCTCTTCCCGTTAAGACGAGCCGGACTTTGAAAACCCTTGTGAGTCATATTCAGATGCTTGTGAGACGCACACGCTCAGCCGTCCGCTTGGCTCCTCTGTGCTCCTCCCATGCAACTTTACAACAAGTAGCCTCAACTGGGTGTCGTGGGCCCACACTCCTGGGCTGGACCTGGTCCATCTCACATCTGAGGGTCATATTAAGTTCCTGGACCACAGGTATGGTCGGGTGAAAGCCTTTCCATACCAGGCCTCAGAGGGGAACTTCTCCATCCGCATCGATGAGCTTCAAAACTCTGACCTGGGGTGCTATCACTGTAAGCAGGGACATGACTGTCTTCAAGTGGAGTTGGTTGCTGAAAGAGGTGAGATGATTTCTGTTTGAAAGTGTTCAGGTAACGCTTCCTCAACACTGAGCAGCAGCCTCTGCAGAAACATGCGGCCTCCTTCCTTTCCATGGTCACAAACCTCATAGGCCAAACACATGAGAGGGGACAAGTGAATGAGCTAGTTTCCTGTGCCATGCATCTTTGTAAAAACCACAACTAACCATGCAGGTGCTCAGAGCGGAGACATGATGCTACTGATTTACATCTGTGTTGGCGTGGCTGCTTTCACTCTGCTGAGCATCGGTGGCTACTGCTGCATGAAGTGCATATGTGAGTACCTGCCCAGTCTGGCATCCTCAGTCCACACAGATAGAAGAAGTGGTTTGTGGTCTGTGATTGGTTGGTTATTTAAAAGCTCTTTTTATTTCAGTGTGCTGTTATAACAGAACAAAGGACAATACAAACAACCCTGAAGGTGCAGGCACTGACGGTAAGCTATAATTTTAACATTTACGTTCGATCCATCTGTAGAGTTTTGCTCGGTACATGGTTACATTTACATTAAAGCACAGGAATTACAGTACAGTAGGCTTGATTACAGCCAGTTAAGGCAGAATGAAAGGAAATTATGAAGAGTTGCATCTGCTAAGTTATTTAAAAAGATGTATCATGCACCGGACAACGGAAATGTACACAATAGAGACAAATATACAGCAATGCACATCTTTCCTTCAAAAGAATATGTAGTTTTGTGAAATCCGTCAATTTACTTTCAACGATTATGTCCAACTGCTCCTTCAAGTTGTTTCATATAATGTCCCACTGCAGGCGCCAGTGCTCCACCTGAGGAAACAGGCAGAGTGCCTGCACATCAACAGCAGAGAGGTAACAACACACACACACAGTAGTATATGTGATGCACGAGTCGACGAGGACAAGTGATATTTCTGATGTTTCCTTTTCCTACAGGAGGGGGCAACGATAATCTTGTTTATGGTGCGTTCACACTGCTCTTCTTCTTTCTTTTATCCTTTCGTTCCATGTCATCTATTGAGCCACCTTATTAAAAAATTTAATGCCTCTGTTATCCCAACTGAAACATCACGATTGTCTAATAGTCAATGTTTTCTAAACCTTTTTATTTTAAATATCAGAAAATGATGACCAAGACCCATCCAGCAAGCAGGAGGACCCCACCAGAAATGATTGCAGTACAGTAGGAGGTCTGCCCGATCCAGACAGGACTCAACCCGCTCAGAGCACCAGTGGGATTTATCCAAACCTGAACCAGTTTGAGAGGACGGAAAGTCAGAGAACAGAACAGGGATTTCATAGAGGTGCTTAATATTCAGTAAAATCACTGCAGTTTCTATTATTGGTGACCCTTTTATCATCTTGTCACGACAAACTGGAGTAACTCAGTCTCACCTCTCCAGAACTCTTCAGAAGATTACGGCAAGCAAGTCGGAGTCGGCATTATTACGGTGAAATATGCATCTTTTATTATGTTGCATCATTTCAGTGCTGTCGGGACCTTCACTTTTATTTATTTTATTACACAGTTAACCAAGGTGAAATCAGCAGGCAACAAGCCTTGTCAACTCAGGCAGAGAATCATCAGAAAGGTATTTAGACTTTATTTGATTGCTCTTGTGTCATCTGTCAGAAGGATTTTTCTGTGCGTGAGAATAAATAGCTTATTGTTACATTGTTCACTGATTTTTTTTTTGCAGCAGCAGCAGCAGCAGCAGAAGGTTTTGGGAAGAAGAAGAAGAAGAAGGTCACGGAAAGTAAGTGCTGACTTCCTCTGTGGGCATGTTTGAGATGCAATAAAACTGTGGCTCAACCGCTGTCCTACTTCTCCCTGTCAGATATCCAACTCAAAAACCCAATTTACAACAGGAGCCTGGACCAGCTCAACCACCTGTAGAGAATAAAGGAGAGTTTAAACAGCTGTAGAGATAGTTTTCTCAGTACCAACATACTTTCCAATTATATCCATTGATTATTAATTTCACATATTAAACTTGATACATGTCTTGTTGTATTTGTTTGCTGTATAATTATACTGTATTCCTGTACAAGAAACAGTCTGTGCATGTGTTGAATGAGACAAACCTGTGTAAGCCATTGGTTATTTTATGCATGTGAGAAGCACTTTCTGACCATATAAAATGCTTTCATACTCTCAGTTTGAATAATAAGCCCTTTGTTTGTTTGTTTTTTTAACCAAACTGCACTCACATCTGCAAACAGTTTCAGTCTCAGGTTCACTTGCATTGCTTTAACTGTGGGAGGATACAGAACAAGCTCCAGAAAAGACCCAGAAAGCAGCTGATTTTAAACACAGGACCCTCAAACTGTGGAGCAACAGAGTTACTGACACTTCTTCAGTTGAGAGTCGTGCCAATTAAGCCAAATGAGAAGCAGCTGCTCCACCTGTGACAGAGTCTCAGTATCCAAAGATGAAGGCCCACAGAACAGACTTCATTTTGGTGACGTGCATTTCATTATCGCTGCTTCTTCTGAAACGTGAAGCCAATGCTGCTTCAAAACCATTCCAAGCAACAGTTTCTGACACTAATAGTGATACGTCGATCTGCCACGATGGGTTCATGTCTGTTTACATATCAAAGGGGCAATTTGCTGATCTTCCTCTCACCATTTATGTTCAAGGTAAGTCAGACACCAATTATATGAAACCAACGATGACACATAGATTTGCAGCGTTAACTCTGCTCTTGTATGTGTCCAAATTTACACAGATGAACACGGCGGATATTACCAAGCCATCGCTGTAGCAAAACGGTGCCTCTACTTCCTTGGAGAAAGTGATGCCTTTATTGTGTTAACAGTTGCTTCCCATGGATGTTTTGTGAGAAGACAAGTAAGCTGTCTCTTGAGCTTGTCTGTCTGTTTGTTTTTTTAAATGTGGATTTATACAAATCTTTATTTTCATATTCTAATCATTTTGTTCAATAGAAATATATGACAAATCTGACTGTTGTCATCATGGCACTTGCAGACTGGGGAGCAGTTGAAATCGTCAAGTCAATACCTCTCATCTGTGAAAGGAAGATTAAGGGTATTATTTCTACTCGTACAAATAAATCTCATGACATTGAGAATTAAAAACAAACTAAATTCTGAAACGCAGTGTTTTCTACAGAGGTGAACAAAAATGATGATCCACAAATTTCAACACATGAGTTCTGCAACAAGGATGGGTTCAACATTACCATCCCTCAGAATGCCACAGACCCACCTCTGAACCTGGATGCACTCTGGATCCCTTCCAGTCAAAACCATAACTGTAAACCCCCAAAAAGATCCAAGGATGCTGTCACTTTCAGCTTTCCCTTCACTGATTGTGGCACTCAGTCTGTGGTAAATGCAAATGCATTACCTCCCGTCCATCTTTAGGCAGGTCAGGTGGTATTATAACAGGTTTGGTTGTGTCTTGCAGATAGCAGACGGGATTATAAAATACTGGGTCAACATTGAGGTGAAGCAACAGTTGCAGAACGGCTTTATATTTCGTGACGCTCCTTTCCAGTAAGAAATCAAAATGTTCCACTTCTTCTGCTTTGAGACTGTAAGAACACTCATTTAAATGTCCTCTTTTATTTTGTAGTCGTACTGTGCATTGTAGCTTTGCACTGGCCCAAATTACTCGGCTGGGCATCAAGGTTCGGGGAGAAGAATCAGAGTACCCGTCAACACTGAAGAGTGAGGGAATACTGAGGACTGAAATGAGGTTTGCCAAAGGTCATGTTAGTCAAGTTTTTGCTTGATTTTTACTTGTATTGTCCTTTAAACTTATTCATTCATTATGTCATAAATGTGTCTGTACATTTTATTAACCAAAATGTCTTGAACGATTGTCAATACATGGCTTGAAAATGAATTAATAGTTTTAACATTGAAGGACCAGTTTCAAACTTGGAGCATAGTGAAGCCCTCATTTATTATTTTTTTAATCTTTCAACTACAGACTCCAATTACAGGTCTTTCTATTCCTCTCGAGCCCCTCAAACAGTCACCGAGCTTGGCCAGCCTGTGCATGTGGAGGTGTTTGCTCCTAAACACGAGGACAAAGCTTTGGTGCTGCTATTGGAGGACTGCTGGGCGACACCGACTGAAAACCCGTATGACCCACAGAGATGGAACCTGCTTGTCAAAGGGTGAATTTGCGTGAAATAAACAGACATATATTTCACCATTTATATCCAAAAGGCCATTTAACATCTGTGCCTATACTTCAATCAACCAAAGCTCATCTTTGTCTCCAACCCAGATGTCCTTTCAGTGGCGATAGCCACAGAACTGTTGTGTTGCCAGTTGTCCCCACAGAACTGAAATATCCCTCTCTTCATAAGTGGTTTGTGGTCAAGATGTTCTCATTTGTGAAGCCCCCAACATTTGACAACCTGGTACGACAAAGTAGAAAAAAAAAAAGAAAAAACGTAATATGAATTTCACTGCTATTAATTAACCTTATGATTTTTTTTTTTTTTTAATGGGATGCTCTCCTACAGGTATATTTCCACTGTGATGTAGAGATCTGTAAAGGACCAGATTGCCTACAGTCCTGCAGCAATGGTAAGTGGAGCTGCAGCCTAGTGACCCTTTATGAAGTCTAATGAATTCATTTTGGGTTATTGATTCATGCATGCTTGTAACACTGTGAGCGATTGTCTCAGTTTTGCCATGTCTTTCAGGGAGGCGTAAATTAAGGCAAATCCCACCGGGGCCAGGACAGGAGAGTCTTTACAGTGTAGTTTCTGGTGGACCTCTTCTGTATCTACTGTAAATAATCAGAAAAAGGACTGCTGTTTCAAGTCATGCTTGGAAGTGCAACTGAGAACGGTTCAGTCAAGATCTGTTTGTGATTTGTAATGAAAATAAATCTATACCTTACATTAATGACCTTAAGTTAGTAGATGTATGTAGTGGGAAAGGCTTGCATTAATTAAATGTTTTAGTAAATATCCTTTTTTTCATCACTGTACTGCCACTTGCTAATTTTAGGTGGTTGTGGAAGATTGTATGTACCCTATGGGCTCGACATGAAGACCTTTTTATAAGACATAAATACATTTTCAGATCACTTCGGGAACATTTCACATCCACAAATATTAAATGACTGGTCTTAAACTTTGCTTTTTTTACTCATTATTTCGATTTATCTTTGTTTTATAGTTACAGAGTTATGAACAAATCGACGTAATGACTATTAAGACATTATACTATACATATTATACTATCTTCAGTTGAATTACTAGGTGATGGCACGTTTCTGTGTAAATAAAGCTTAATTTAAAAAAACCGTTCTGGCAGACTTTTATTGTGGAGGAGGTATTCCGGTCATGTGCCCACAACTCGACCAATAGAAACGCCGAAAGGGTTAGTTTGCGGAAGTCATTGAGCGAGCGTGTCGTCTTCGAAACGAACGAAATAATTGTAAAAGAAGTCGCTATTTTTAACTTTTAGTATAGTTTGTAGGTAAAACTAAATCGTGTTCCGCATGATTAACGTCAGTATTTCTTTCGTCTTTTCAGCTCCTCACACTTATCTGCTGGTTAAGCTAACGTTACTAGTCAGTTATGTCCAAATCAACGAGGCTGGACTCGAAAGACGATGAGTCCAAACGGCTGCCCATCTATCAGCACAAAGCCACACTGACTCGGGCTGTCAAAGAGAGCACGTTTCTGGTTGTCACCGGTGAGACTGGCAGCGGGAAAACCACACAACTTCCAAAGTACCTTCATCGAGCAGGTGAGCTGTGGTTTAGCTGTGTGATAGTTAAACCTAAACACAAACTACACGGAACACTTCCTCTTATTTTTGTGTAGGTTTTTGTAGAGATGGCAAAATTGGCATCACTCAGCCCCGCCGGGTGGCTGCCATCACGGTGGCCCAGAGGGTGGCCCAGGAGATGCAGTGCACTCTGGGTAGAGAGGTTGGCTACCAAGTACGCTTCGATGACTGCACATCACAGGTGAGAGGCAAAAGACGACTCATCCCTTGCAATACATTTTTATTGTGCATTTTTATTGTGCATTTTATTGTGTCTGTGCCAGAGCACGGTGGTGAAGTACATGACCGACGGCTGTTTGCTCAGAGAGATCCTAGCAGATCCTGTACTCTCTCAGTACAGCGTTGTAATCCTGGATGAAGTCCACGAACGCAGCCTCAACACAGTGAGTCAATATGACGACACAATATCATTGACATTTATCATTTCTTGCGCTTTACTCTTGCATGCATACAGCTTGTCAGCATGCAAAATGTACTTCTCTCCGTCATCCTTTCAATGCACATATTGATTTAGTGTTTGTTTGTTTTGCAGGATATTCTCCTGGGTCTACTGAAGAATATGTTCTCCGACTCTGCGAAGCCCACCAAAGGCAGATCTTTCCCTCTGAAGGTGGTGGTGATGTCCGCCACCTTGGAAACTGACAAACTTTCGGCCTTTCTCAGCGACTGCCCCGTCTTTACTATTCCTGGGAGGACTTTTCCTGTCACCAGCACATTTGGTTTTGCTGTCGGACCTAAAGACATAGAGAGCACTGGTTATATAAAAGAGGTACTGAGATTCAGCCAATGAGTCGGGTGTTTTTCTTTATTATTCTTGCATGACAAGAAACATTTGGTTTCACAATTTTAAAATCCTTGCTCAAGTTAGATATGTGTTTATAGCTTAATGCATTTTGTTCTTAATCATTTTATTTCCATGTTTTGCTTCACAGGTGGTCAAAGTGGCCCTTGATGTGCACACCAGTGAAATGGCTGGGGACATTCTGGTGTTTTTGACAGGTACGTTATCGAGCTCACACTATGTCGACCCTCACAAAATCTGTCTCGTTAATCCTCCATGTTTGACAGGTCAGGCAGAGATTGAGCGGGCGTGTGACTTGTTGTATGAAAAAGCTGAGTCTGTAGACTACCGCTACGATGTGGAGGACCAAACCGTGGAGGGCCTCCTCATTCTGCCTCTTTATGGATCCATGCCCACAGGTAAATACATACAACAGCTGTCGCATCCTATTCATCGATAGGTAGATTTAAATTGTAGTTTCTTCCAGATTAAGTCAATATGAAAACATCTTGTCTGTCTTGTCGTAGATCAACAGAGGCAGATCTTTCAGCCCCCACCTTCAGGAATAAGGAAGTGTGTCGTGGCCACTAACATTGCAGCAACATCTCTCACCATCAATGGCATAAAGTGAGTGAGGCCTGTGGTTATTGGCATTTATCAGATTTACAACAATGACTTGTTCCTCAAATAGTTAACATAAAGCATTTTATTTCTCATAAAGGTACATCATAGACAGCGGGTTTGTGAAGCAACTCAACCACAACTCAAGAGTGGGCATGGATATCTTGGAGGTGGTGCCGATTTCAAAGTGAGTTTTTGAAGAAATAACATGTCATTTCAAACCTGCAACTACTTTTGTTAAAGTTTGTCTTCCTGCCAACTGCCATGCCATTTAAGAAAGCTTGGGAATAAAGTTTTGGACTTGGATTTCTTTGTGATTAGGAGCGAGTCTGAGCAGAGAGCAGGCCGAGCTGGAAGAACCTCAGCTGGGAAATGCTTTCGAATCTACACCAAGGAATTCTGGGAGAAGAGCATGCCGGAATATACCGTTCCAGAAATCCAGAGGACGAGTCTGACTGCAGTGATACTCACTCTCAAGTGCCTGGGTGTTCATGATGTCATTAGGTACACTGATACTGGTTGCTTTCTTATTGCTCATCTTATTTATCTTTTTTTACCTTTGTTAATAAAGAGTTTGTTTCTTTTAAGGTTTCCCTATCTGGACTGTCCAGAGGAAAGGTTTATTCTTGAGGCTTTAAAACAGCTCTACCAATTTGATGCCATCGACAGGTGAGAAATGACGCATGTTGACCTGTGGTGTTCAAAGCACAGCAGTCGTGGGTTTAAGTACTTCTCTGTGTGTCGTCTGTAGGAGAGGAAGAGTGACCCAGCTGGGGGAGCTGATGGTGGAGTTCCCCCTCCACCCGGGCCTCACCCGGGCCGTGCTCAAAGCCGCCTCGCTCGGCTGTGAGGACCTGCTGCTCCCCGTAGCCGCCATGCTGTCTGTAGAGAACATTTTCATCCGGCCAGGTCAGCAGTTTAGCTTAAAAGCAGGAAATTCAGCTTACAAAAAAATGGTTTTACAGAGCCAATAAAGTTCTGTATTATTTACTGACGTGTCGGTTTGATTGTTTAGTGTGTCAGGAAATGACACATTCAGAGAAGTGTAGTGTGAGGACTGATCTCTTCCTGCTTGCAGGCCACCCTGAGAAGCAGAAAGAAGCGGATAAACAGCACAGAGCGCTGGCTGCCAAGAGCGGCAGTATGAACGACTTCGCCACTCTCCTCAGCGTGTTTCAGTTGTGTAAATCCAGGTACGCTGATTAATGCTGCTAGATGCATCCGTATTATTTCTAGGTAATTAATCATCACAACTGTTATAAGTGCAAGCCTTTCTCTTGCTTCCTGCAGCGACAGACCCTCAGCGTGGTGTAAAGATCATTGGATCCACTGGAGGGCGCTGAAGTCGGCCTTTAGTGTGGAGACTCAGTTGCGAGAGATCCTCCTTCGCCTCCAACAGGTTCAGCAGTTTATGCAACTCATTTTCACATCACTGACTAAAGTGTGTTGTGTATCCATGCCCTGTTGACAACCTCATATGGCTGTAAACAATACAACTGTACAGATGCATAATTCTGCCTCTTCATTATTAGATCATGCTTGCTCCCCACAATAATATGCTTGAATAATTGTAAAGGACCTCTTTGCAGATTACTGTTGTCAGATGTTCAACTCTGTCATTTATTGATTTATGATTTTGTTTGCTAACACACTTGTGTGATCATTAATTTGAATGAGACCCTCTTTCCTTTCAGAAGAGAGATTTCCCTGTCGACACATTTGATGGCAATAAGAGTGAACTCTTCAGACGATGTCTGTGCATGGGATACTTCACCAATGTTGCCAGAAGGTATCACCAAAGTTCATTTAAAATGATTCATATTTAACTCTTTTGGGATTTCTTTATTCTTTCTCTTAGTGATACATGTGAATAATTGTTCAGTTATTTTCACATAGGTCTATTGGAAAGGTGTTTTGCACAATGGATGGCCATGGATCCATGGTTCACATTCATCCATCCTCATCGGTAAATGCATTCTCAAAAAGTATTTAATAATAAAACACAGTTTTCATAGAACACACATGTTTGGAACCAAAACTTGCTGCTTCTTCTTCCTTTTGATCACAATCCCGTGTTGCCCCAAGCTGTTTGACCAGGAGGCTGAGCTGAACTGGGTCATCTTCCACGATGTGCTGGTGACCTCACGGGTGTACGTCAGGACCGCGTGTCCTATTCGATATGAGTGGGTGAAGGACTTACTACCTAAACTACATGAGGTGGACGTCTATGAGCTGAGCAGCGTGGCAAGAGAAGAAGTGATGGATGAGGAGATGGTGAAATGGGAGACCAGGGAAGCAGCCAAAAGACAACCAGGTTTTCAGAGTTTATTATATTTATATTTATTAAATTGTAATGTTATATAGCTCAATGGTTAATGTTTATAGTCCCTGCTATGACCATGTATGAAATTATTAAACATAATAGAATAGAAATAGAAACCCTTTTTATTGTCATATACACATACATGAAATTTGACCTCTGCATTTGACCCATCCCTGTATATAGGGAGCAGTGGGCTGCCAATGACAGGCGCCCGGGGAGCCGGGGGTTCAGTGTCTTGCTCGGGGACACTTCGACACGTGACCATTTGGGCTTGAAGATCTTAGTTGTTCAGAGTGAATGAAGTAATAATATATAACAAACTAATAGATTCCTTTCTTCTTTTTTTCAGAGGTCTCTACTGAGGACGTCGTGAAGAAGCTGGAGAAGCGCAACAACGAGACGACCGTCGGCGACGCTCGTGCTCGCTACCTGCAACGAAAGCAACAAAGACAACAGAATAAAGCTCTTTGACAGAAAGCGCTTGCTTTTGAGGGACATGGTTCACGCAAACGTATCACATAAGGAGCATTTGGAAACAATTTCTGAACAATAAATATTTGTTACATTTATAATGAAAATAATATCATTGTCTTGCTCTTTTTAATCCCTACACTTTACACACAACGGTGTAGTAGTAGTTAGATCCACGGGTCTTTTGACAAGAAAATGTGTGCTTTGTTTTTTAACAGTGAGTAGATTAAAATACAATAAATACAGGGACATTTCATTTTTATTTTTGTTGCACTGCCTGTCTGTAAACCGGCTCCATGCAGTCGGGGTGAGGTTACGGTTACAGTTTAGTACAGGATGTACTTTGACGCCGACTGTTCAGGTGCAGTGGACCCTCTCTGGCCTCTTGCGTCACTTCCGCTCGTGTGCGTCTGCGGGACTGCTGTACTGTCTGGCTGGGACGGAGGGGTTTCCACGCTAAAGCAGGCGACTAAACACAGTAAAACTCATAAAAAGAGGCGAGGGTTTTTGGAACTTATCCGCACTTGTATACCGAAATAACGGAGCTCAGTGGACGTGTACTCTGTTCGCTGGCTCGCAGTACGCTTCAGTGAACCACTGCAGCAGCAACAGACCCGAGCACGCTGCTGTTGTTGTGAGAGAAGAAAACAACCGCTAAGCTGTGTGATCATTGACAGAGCTCAATACACACAAGCGTCAAGATATATAGATATATATATAACTGGAGGGGAGAATTGTGCTGCGTACCTCCGAGTTTTTTCCCAAGAAAAGGACCAGCTGGGGAATTTTTATTTTTTTAAAAAAAATTTTTTGTCGCTGAAGTCGAGGTAAGAAAAGCCGGGGGTAACGAGGAGAACGGGGCGCAAATGGCTAACTGACACGCTAGCTAGCTTGCTGTTAGCTTGGAAGCTATTTTAGCTAGCTGCCTTGTTTGGTCGTAACGCGGTCGTGTGGTCAGTGTCCTCACTGTCCTCACTGCTGTCCGTCGTAGTTGAAGTGTTGTAGCAACTCGTTTACGGAGACGCTAACGGCCTGTACGTGTACTCGGAAGGTAACGTGAACGTTTGTTGACTTTGCGTCAGTTAGCTTGGTAACGTTACACCGAAAAAGGAAGAGGATATGTAACGGTTAAACGTTGTTGTTTACGCTGGACAGTTTGTGGCTGTGCTGGGTAACGTGACAGTGTGTATTTTAGACATTGATTAACTGTACTAATCTAACGTTAACTGGAAAGGTATGTTGTGTATTTATGGTCTTCTGTGTTATTTCCTCAAGTGGTGCTACATCTAGTCAACCTTAACGCTTGACTAGATGTTGTAGACGCACTCTTTGTAAGAGCATTACACTTTTAATCTGTGTAAATTGCAAAGTGCGGAAAAGCTGTTGTGCTTCATTATTATTATCTGGTAAAAGAGCAGTCAGTATTACTCCTGCTAGTCGTATTAGTAGCTACGGTGTAAAGGTAGTGGCTGCACCTCTGCTGACCATAACAAAGTCTGAAGTCGTGGGAATCCTTATCTGTGTTTTTATCTTTGTAAACAAAGCAGTGCAAACAGTTCTTCTGTTCTGGCCACTGTATGCACTGTATTATTCAACCCCATCGCTTTCACTGAAATACTGTGAAATCCTGGTTAAAATTCTAACATATCTGTTGATTCAGGGCTGACCCTGGATCACCAGAGGGCCTCTCTACAAACATCCAGCAAGAGCTTTGAGGGACTATTACAATTTAACAACACAAAGCTGCTAATTGTTGGATCACTGGCATATTTGATTTCTCTACGTGGCATTACTAGAGTAACAAGATCTACCATATTAATATATATTATGATGCTGTTGTATGTCAAGGGAGAGATGATGGAGGTGTGATAGTCCCCTTTTTGGATGTCACTGTCATAAGTGATGCTCAGATACGAGGAGGTGAGCTGATGTGCAGTTTTCTTTGTTGTGGAGTTGTTGTGTTTCAAGGCAACAGAGTGCCAGAGAAGGTGAGGAATGTATTCAAGCGTAGTGTGGTGACAACACACAGATAGACATCTAGAGCAATACACAGAATGTTTGCTTTGTTTTGAGAAATCGGTTTTCACTTTATGCGTTCACCTCCACCTTCCTGGCTGTAGTTCCTTTCGGCCACATTTCACTTTTTTAAGATATGAAAGTATGATTTTGAGGAAATTCATTTTAAATTGTCTGAAGCCACAAAGTTGTTTTGTTTACACTGTTAACAAGTCAGCAGAGATTTTAAATATTTAACAAAGACTAACAGTGCCCTCCTCTTAAGTATCCAACTCACATTGTGTTACTTTCATTATGTTTCTTTTCTCAAAACCGGTTATTTATATGAATGAATGTTGATGGTCTTTGTGAGCTGTACGTGTTAACGCTACAATTAGCGTTTTATGGACAGTCTGACACTCATTGTGTATTCTGCATTAACAGTATTTCTTTCTGTTCTTTTCCTTCAGGTATTACAGGATACAGTTTTGTTTTGTCTGAGCCACTGTCAGGCACTTGACCAATAGGAACAGTTTGCACAATTTCCTCCAGCTTGTCTGCAGCCCCCTCCCGACCCAGACAGTCCTCTGCCCCAGCATGAATGAAGTCAGTGTTGTGAGAGAGGGATGGCTCCATAAGAGAGGTAAGGGGGCCTCCTGTGTTCAACGTCAATCATCGGAGTCTACATTAATATGATAGTCCATGTTAAAGTCTTAAATTATGAGTATTAAATACTCCGCTTCTAGGCTTGTACAGTGTCTGTCGAGGTAGTTTCCGTATTAATGGAGAACAGCTGTGCTCAGCGTAGTTCAGTCACTTACAATGGATTCCCATTGTTAACGTAGCGTGACACAGAGTATCCATATTAAAGCCAAACACACAAGCAAGAACAACAACATTAAAACTCAGCTGGATCACAGTTCTTCACCTGTCTGTTTCCCAGGTGAATACATTAAAACTTGGCGGCCTCGCTACTTCATCTTGAAGAGCGACGGCTCCTTCATCGGCTACAAAGAGAAGCCCGAGGTGTCCAGTGACCACAGCCTCCCACCGCTCAACAACTTCTCTGTCGCAGGTCTGTTTCCCCCAACTGGCTGGCAGTAGTATATGTCAGATTAAACTTTTTTTTAATGTTTTGTTGTTGGTGCCTTCAGTTTGTCAGTGTTGGCTAATGTGTGTCTGCCCTATAGAATGCCAGCTCATGAAGACGGAGCGCCCAAGGCCCAACACATTTGTTATTCGTTGCCTGCAGTGGACCTCTGTTATTGAGCGCACCTTCCATGTAGACAGCAACGAGGAGAGGTAAAACATTCATTCCAAAGGTTTTATTATATTACATATTACCTCTTTGGTTAAAAATGTAAGTGTAGCGTGCTTTAGGCCAGTGCATCTGACGAACAGACATCATCAAGCAAAGTCTGTCGACACTGAAACACCAGAACAGTATGATTATAGTAAAATCTCTTCTTCCTCCTCAAACTTAACAACAAATCTGTTCAGGAGAGAGACAGACAAACTTGTTACTCTGCTGAGTCCCAGACTAGTACATTTTGTTCTGGTGCCTCCTCCTCTCCATTATCATTTACAGAACAGTGTTTCAGAATAGCAAAACTTCTGATTAAGTTGATCTTAATAACGTTCTTTTTGTGGCACCTTTGCATTGAAACGTCAATCAAATCACGTGTCACGTAATTCGTGTTTTGAACACGGCACAAACATAAATACGGGTTAAAAATAACATTTAAAGGTTGAACTCGTATATGTCCACTTTGGAAAGGATTTGAGGGCTTGCAGAACACTGGTTTAGTGTGACTAGAAGGCAAAAATAGATGAAAATACAATAAATTCGTGTTCAGATTCAGCCAGATTAGTGTGCACATAGTTTAGAGTCCTAGCCTTCTGTCTCTATTGTAGATTAGACAGGATATGACTAAAGTATTAACAGTGTCTTGAGGGGAAAAAATGTGTTTGAAAATGAGATAATCTCAACATGTATTGTATAGAGAACATATAGGACAGAAAGACACCAGGAGCAACATAGAGGGCCTTTAATGGACCATTGTTCACTGAAGGAAATCCATTTTAGTTTGCAAGAGAAGGAAACACCATGCTTGAAATAGAATTAAGTGCTAGATTGGCCCTGATTATTAACCCCCAACCCAAGCAGTCGTAATTGAGTTTTGTTTACATCAACTCTGCCAAGCACCAAATCCCAGATTATCCTCTACCTTCTAAATTGTGTTCGCTAGGTTTTCCTTTTAAGATATATTTTTGGAACAACATCTAAACCATCTGTCTGAATACAAAGAGTTTACAAAAATATGTCACTGCTAAGTACAACTTGTACCCTAAGGCAAAAACCTCTTTCTTTGGCTAGATTTGATAAAGGCAACGTGTGCTTTCTTCCGGGTTCAGGGAGGAGTGGATGCGATCGATCCAGGCGGTGGCAAACAGCCTGAAGAGTCAGCACCAGGATGAGGAGCCCATGGAGATTAAATTTGGCTCACCAAGTGACATCAGCGGCACAGAGGAGATGGAGATCGCTGTGTCCAAGTCCCGCACAAAAGTGGTCAGTATTTGCACAAGCGGTGCCTGGCAGCTGAGTGTTTGGTGTGTTTGTCCAGCTAAGCTCATTTTTATTGAGCAAGTTGTTTAAACTTTAAGCCTCTTTCTCAAAGCTAGGGCAACGTTTGTGTGTATGTATTATGTCTATCGCTGATGAGATTTTCAATTTCTCTGTTTTTACGGACTTAGTTTTTTCTTTTGTCTGCTGGCTTTGTCATGCAGTATGTATAACCGTTAAACATACTGCATCTCTGCATACGGTTATGCTGGCTGACTGATCGTTTACTGGTTTGTGGTTCTTCAAAGTGGCTTGATTATTGTAAAAAATCAATGTACTTTTTTGGACCTATCCCTGTTTAAATGATTTCCTGCTTGATATTGTCCGTAATATTATTCAAATTGTGATCACCAGTCGCTATAGGCATGGAAGTGTCTTTTTTAAAGATTATTTGGGCATTTTATGCATTTATTTGATAGTTATAGCTAAGAGAGACAGGAATATGTGGGGAAACCTCTAACCCTAACCTCTCCATCTGCTCGATGTTTCATAAGTGTTCATTTAAAGAATTAGGTCTGTAATTTATGTAGAAATATTTCACTATGTCAGCATGTCATGTCTTGCATGCTTGAGAGAAATGTGTGTGTTTGTGTGTTAGAATACATCCTATGTAGTGTACCAACATCAGCAGAAGGGACAGTAAAATGGGAAACCACTGACTTTATATTACGTAGAATACATTTTTAAGTCCCGTCAAAACCCACACATGTGACTTTCATGCATCCTTGTCACGGCTTATCTTGTTCCTTTAGACCATGAGTGATTTTGACTACCTGAAGCTGCTGGGCAAAGGGACATTTGGTAAAGTGATCCTGGTGAAGGAGAAGGCCACAGGGATGTACTACGCCATGAAGATCCTCCGCAAGGAAGTCATCATTGCTAAAGTTAGTGTTACTCCCATCACAGTAACATCTTTGTTTTGGAACAGTATTATTATCTATGATGTGGTTTTGCTCTAATTGCATATACCGCGTGTGTGTGTGTGTGTGTGTGTGTGTGTGTGTGTGTGTGTGTGTGTGTGTGTTTGTGTGTGTGTGTGTGTGTTCCTGTAGGATGAGGTGGCACACACGGTTACAGAAAGCAGAGTTCTCCAAAATACGCGACATCCCTTTCTAACGGTGAGTTACCGTTCCCTCAGTTTGTTGCTTTCCTAAATGAAGGGACCATTGAATCAGTAAAATGCAGACGCTAATATCTGTTTTCCTCCTCTACAGACACTAAAATATGCATTTCAAACGCACGACCGGCTATGCTTTGTGATGGAGTATGCAAATGGAGGAGAAGTAAGTTTTCCTCTTTCTCATATGGCCTACAATTGTGTGGCTGTACCTGGATGACCTTATTGGAAGATGGCTAATTGTAGCAGCAGGGGTGTAGAAAAGAAACCCGACACCTCGACTCATGATGCATCAGTTTAAGGATGGTGTTACATGTTTGCTCCGGTTAAAATAGACCCTCGTGCATTTGTCTGGTTAGTGTGAATCATTCGGGCAGGTGTGAAAGCTGTCAATCAAACCTTGGAGGGGACCAAACAACTGGACCAAGACCCCGCTCTCATAATATCAAAAGCTAAATGACTATTGAATCTATCTGATGATCGTGAAGCGTCTCTTATTCCTGAGTCTCCTCATCTTTTTACTCCCTCTCAGCTCTTCTTTCACTTATCGCGGGACAGAGTGTTCACAGAAGACAGAGCACGATTCTACGGTGCAGAAATAGTGTCGGCACTGGAGTACCTACACTCACGCAATGTAGTTTACAGGGATTTAAAGGTAAGGCGGCTGCTCGCTCGAACAGCGTAGTATTATTTTTGTAAATAAGCTGGAGGGATATTCCTTGACAAGCTTTGACCCTAGATTGTCGTACCATCTACCATCTAACTAACTTGAGTCTTTTCCTGCACAGCTGGAGAACCTCATGTTGGACAAGGACGGCCACATAAAGATAACAGACTTTGGGCTCTGTAAAGAGGGGATCACAGACGGGGCCACCATGAAAACCTTCTGTGGAACTCCGGAGTACCTGGCACCAGAGGTAACTCCACGATGGCTTTGGACTCTGACATCAATATCTTGGTATATCGTATTATGGCATAAGTGTTGACATATTGAACATTGACAATCAGTGGGTAACTGGGATGGGAAGGCGGTCTCAAATTTAGTTCATAGCCTAAATGTCCTGTAGCAGAAATGTATGCGTATAATGACATCATCTGCTCTGAACTGCTGCCAAACAGGTTTGCTGACAGTAAAAAAAACAGTTAAATTGAATCATTTTGGATCTGTAAATAGCACCTTGAGACTTGTTTATTTCTTATTATTTGTGGGGCTTTTTGCCTTTATGTGACAGTCAGTGTGGGCAAAACAAGGACTTCCATGTAATATCAGAAATCATTGATATTCCTGCACTGATATTCCTGTTTTATCTCTCGCTCAACTCTTTTCATTCCCACCCGGTCAGGTGCTAGAAGACAATGACTACGGGCGAGCGGTGGACTGGTGGGGGCTGGGCGTGGTCATGTATGAGATGATGTGCGGCCGGTTGCCCTTCTACAACCAGGACCACGAGCGTCTCTTTGAGCTTATTCTCATGGAGGAGATCCGCTTCCCCAAGAACCTGGCTCCTGAAGCCAAGGCCCTGCTGGCCGGCCTGCTCAAAAAGGATCCCAAACAAAGGTTCGTGCTTTTGTAGCCGTTCCTTTTGTATGCTCCCTCTCCAGCGACAGCCGCGACCAGAGGCGTTATGTGTTCGGCTTGTTTGTCCTTCTGCTGAACGTGATATCTTGGAACCGCCTCCAGGGAATTTCCTCAAATTTGGCACATACATCCACGACTCAAGGACCAACTGATTAGAGTTAAGAGGTTAAAGGTCAGGGTTACTGTGACCTCACAAAACACATTTTGGGCTCAAGAATTAATTATACTAAATTAAATATACTAAAAAATGACAATTTAACACAAAAAGGAATAAAATATGAAGTGATCCAAAAACTCAAAAAACAATTCTGAAATTGTGGTACAATGTTTTAATATTAAACATAATCAATTTAAGATCAAATAAACGCTTTCACTGTGAAAACTTGACCGTTCAGCTGAAGATGCAGCACTACAGACTTTGCACCATGTCTGCAGCGCTTGATTAGTTTTCTGAATCTTCCACTGTGCTCGGAGGCACCACTCATTCAGCTATGAAATAAGTAACCCCATTATTAAGCCTTTGTTCCTTAGTGATTTGCTTTGGTACCGGGTATTGGCCATAAACAAGGACATAATTGATTGTTGTTGTGGTCGACCCCCAGTGTTTCTGGGAACAGTCGAGCGGTGCTAATATTAGTACATCGAGCACCGCCTGGCTTACCAAAACACGCACCTGTCCGCAGTAAGGAAATGAGGACTAAATTTGTCTGTGAATTGGTAAATAGGAGTCGGAAGGGAACAACACGACATGAGCGCTTGCTGAACATTTCTAATGACGGCGTTTGCACAATGATCCGTCTAAAGAAAAGGTAGCTGGTGAGTGGGTGGTGACGATGACGGTGGTGTTTTTGTTTTGTTTCCAGGCTTGGAGGCGGACCAGACGATGCCAAAGAAGTGATGAGCCACAAGTTCTTCACCTCCATCAACTGGCAGGATGTTCTTGAAAAAAAGGTGAGGTACTGGGAAAAGAAATGAAAATGATATTTTCAGAATGCAAAATGACTAATATCTTTCTTCTCCTCAGCTTATTCCACCCTTCAAGCCGCAGGTAACATCAGAGACGGACACGCGTTACTTCGATGATGAGTTCACAGCACAAACCATAACAATAACTCCCCCTGACAAGTGTAAGTATATCGACTACTGACATTATTGTGCTTTAAGTTTGGATTTACAAGCGTTTTTTACACATTCATGTCTGAACTGGTGGATGCGTTGTTTTTTCTTCTCCCTCCCTTTACTCCAGATGACAGTTTAGATGCAGAAGATTCAGATCAGCGCACACACTTCCCTCAGTTCTCCTACTCTGCCAGCATACGGGAATGATCACTGAGACTCTTGAACAAGCAGGCAGGCTAACACACGATCACAATCCCACGTACACACACTTGCACTGCTGGGGAACGACACAAACAAAAACTGGCACAAGACACATTTTCATTCAGTCTTTAGCGCACGTACACACACACACACACGTACACACACACACAGACACACATATCCTGGCTATTCAGGCAAGACGGAGATCATTGAGTGTGAAATGAACACACGGGCCGTGAGTCACTGACCTCAGCAGGTTTGTGTGGATTGACTGGCAGCTTTGTCTCTGTGCGTCCTCTCAGGGTTGGCTTCAGGCTTCCCTGCAGGACCTCTGCTGCACTACACTGGGGTACAACATCAAAGCCTTGACCCTTTGAAAACCAGGTTATGCCAGCAAGTACCACCTCTTTACCAGCTGCACCCATGCTACACACACACACAGGCCAACCCATGCATAGACTGCATATATATATATATATATATATATATATATATATATATATATATATATACACGCAAACATACTTGATAGAATTTTAAAAAGCATAATCAAAATTAGGAAGAAAAGATTTGGTGGAAAAAGACAAGATTGTTACATCGATTGTTACAGTTTTAAAGGTCAAGCCATATTTCTGCATTTCTTGTGATTTATTTTTTTTAACAAGTGCTCTTTCTGGAACTTGCTGTTACAAATGAAGTGTGGGACTGTTCCTACAGTAGGCGGCAATGGGGAGGAGGGGGAGGGTTGCCATTTCTGTGTTTGCACTGCACGTATGTGTGTGTGTGCGAATCGGCGAGTGGATGTGTGAATGTATGCGTGTGTGCAGGAGGATGTATGAACAACCATTTTGATTCCCAACCATCCATTTGTGTCAGTTTTCATGCATGTTTTTAAACTCTGAACTATTGCTGGAATATCAACGAGAGGACACTACACTACACACTCGATGGCCTTTTTAAAAAAAAAAAAAATAATTTTTTTTAAAGGGAACAAGCATGTAATTTATGATTACCGTGACCAGTTGGCGCTAAATCGACTCAGTCAGGAATAGAAACTGTGATCTCTTGCATGGCTAACTTTAGCTTTGAAAGCTGTGTTCATTCATTTAAAGGGATGCAGCAGTCAGCTTCACAGAGTCCAGACTGACTTACCGACCAACTGGCTGCTGGTTGGAGGTGTAAGAGTAGGTTTTCATGAAGGCCAGTCCCTATCTGTTAAAGAGAGTAAGAAAAGAAGGAGAACAGAGACGCTTCACCACAGACCAATGTAGACGCACGCAGCCAATCGCTGTCCTTCATCCAGTAACTCTCACTCTTTAGCTGAAGGGTTAGGCACCAATCTTTTGTTCATTTTCGATTTGTAATATCAGTGTAAGTTTTAAAGATTTTTTTTTTATGTTCCCGTATTTAAAGAATGAGAGTTTAATCGTTGTTAAGTCTTTATAATGAGGCCAAAAATTGACTGACTTGGTGGACGTTTAACACTTCAAATGATTCCACATCTGATGTTTAGGACCTTCTTTTTTGTTTTTGTGTTTTCTGTAATGCTGTTTGTTGAGTCACTTAAATCTGCGTAGCTGTATGTCTGGAGCAACAATCTGCAGGTTTACAATCCAATTAAATGCTGCACGAGCTGGTCGACCAACCTTCACCCTGCAGACAGGGGGAACAAATCAAAACATCAGCAGATGCATTGAGTTGAAATGAAAATCTGCACACTGTGAGTCATGACGGCACATCCCACCACAGATAAGTGTTTTCGGTTCCATGTTGCTGGAAGAGACGTTTGGTTGCTCTTTGAGCTTCACTAAAGGAACATCCAGATCTTTTTGTTTGTCATTGTTTTGTTTTTGTTTGATTTTTATCCTTTTTTTGTCCATCTATTTCTCAAATTTTGAAAGACACATTGTCTTGTCTACGTATACATTATATAAAAAATTATATATTAAAAATGTTTAAACGACTTTCTTTTTGATTATGTTCTTCATTTCAAGGGGTTTCCATTGGATGAATGCTTATTTAGCTTAGATGCTAAACTCAGTCATTTGATTCTGAATGGGCAGCTCAGTTTTGGTTTGTATTATCACGGCCCTGAGGCTGAACTGAATACATATAAGGGAAGTATTATTAAGGGAAATTAACATAATTTGATCCATTCTTTTTTAACCTAGAGAGAAAATAGTCCCTATGCAGTTAGAACCTGACTACATTTTGCAGAACCCATTTTAATGTTGTGCTCCTTTTGAAAAAACTAAACTATTTTCCAGCCAATGCTTGAACAGAGTAGATAATACCCATCCTGATATATATATATATATATATATATATATATATATATATATATATATATATAGCATGATGGAGAATAATGAAATTGATAGTTTTCTACCATTCTCTGCAGAGAACTTGAGCTAAGGTTTAAAGACCTCTATCAGCATTCTCTGGGATACCCCTCATGTCACACATTGATTTGTTTTCGTTAAGCTTGTGTGAGTGACTGTGACAGTGAGATGTTTTGAGTGAAAGAGGTGATGAGGACACAGAAAAGCAGCAGGTTTTTGACTCTTCGTGGCCCCGCTTCCTGCAGATGAGGATGAGGATGATGATGATGTGATCAAATGGCTTTGATTTACAGTTCACAACTCCAGCACCTCTTCTCACTGGCTCAGGCTCAGCCATCATACTCTAGCCTAGTGTCCTGCTTTGGAAAAAACCCGGCAGGAATCGGACATCAGAACCACTGCACTGATGTACTCCACTGTGGATTTGCCTTCATTGCTATCATGGCCATAAGGGGGTGCTGCTGAACTTTTTTAATATTGGTTGTGAAGCCATACTCTGAACCTCGCTGCTGGCCACGCTTTAAGCAATGCTTCACAGCTGAACATGCAAGTTAATACCCCTGACCTCTCCTGTAGGCAAACACAGGCACGACAAGTGCCTCCTCACTATTGTGTAAATACCAAAAAAATAAATAAACAGCTTGATGGTGAATGCAGCATTCGTAGAGAGGGGGAGGACTGCAGCTTCGTAGTGTTTGATTTGCAGCTTTACAACCTTGCTTCTCTGTATATTTGAATGTGATGAACTGTCACGAATGTCACACCTGATGCAGATGTAACAAGATTTTTTTCTTCTTTTTTTTGCTTGTTGCCGTTAGCTCAGAGGGCAATGAAAAAAAAAGCAATCTTTAAGGTGAGGTCATTGTCCTGGTAGACAGTTTCAGCCCCCCTTTGCAAGACTTTACAATGTAACGGGTGATACCTGCTACAAAATGGTAGCTTATAACATTTGCAACTATAATGTGCCAGTAAACATTTTTACTGAATAAGCTGTGTGTGTATTGTTTTTATTACGGTGTAGGCCTACACCTGCAGCAGCTCTGCAATGTAAAATGACCACGGAGAGTTAAAAAGATGTCACTCGTCGTATCTTTGGGGTAAAATACTGCCGCTCGAGCTTATCCAAAAAGTTCTGTCAGTCCGAGTTCAACCAAAGAGCGGCCAGCATCACATTACTTCTGTCTGCAGTAACTCTCCCAACATAGCAGATCCAGTTGTGGTTATTATGTGCAATACCCCCATAGCTCAAGACCATGTCCCAGCCTTCAATTCAATAGTTCATGAAAAATATTATAGCCAAACCTTTGAGGGCACAGAGCCTGGATTTGGTCAGGAAACTAGAGGCTTTTCACCAACTTTGTCACAAACATAAGTTT